AGCGCCTTATCACATCATTGACACATCTCAAAGCACTTCATAAAATATAGTAAGTGAATTGACTGTATTGCACACAACAGTGTCCCACAAACTGTCGTGGATTGAGTGACCAAATTATTAGTACTTAAAAGCAATTTTTAGAGGAATTATTGCACCCGGAGTGCAATTGACTAATAACCTGGTTCCTTCTTACTGCTAGGTAAACAGATGTGTGGAGCAGGGAATCTTCGCCCTGCCCAGGAATCAAACCCAATTCCTCTCGCTTGTGAGGTAAGTGCTCTAACCACTCCACTGTAGTACATCCAAACAGTGTTGCTCATACCTCCACCTAGTCAAACTCTGCAAGTCCATCAACCCTATTGTCGCCAGGCTCCATTGGCTTCCTGTCTCCAAATAGATTAACTTTGAGGTCCTCATTCTCACATGTAAATCCCCCTCCGCGCTAGCAACTCCCCATCTGTTGATCTTCTCATATCCCACTCCTTTGCTTGTCTCGTCCACTTAGTAAACAAGCACAGTCCTGCTGCATGTCCATTGCTCCCTCTATGCCACAGTTGGTGTCTAAACCTGCAGTCATTATACATCTGACCATTGGAACTCCCTGGCTCTATTGCTCTGCCTCATCCTTTCTGACTTTAAATTCTCCCTTAAACTTACCTCTATGCGCGTGTCTAGGATCACCACCCTCACCCCATTCTCCCTTGCTCAGTGCCCAACCCCATCACTGTTAAAACGCTCTGATAGGTTAACCTACATATAGGGCTCTATATAAATATGTTGTTATATGGGATAAGATCTCCAACTGGTCCATATATGCTGCATGCACTATTTCTCATGCCATTTACTATTCCTCCTCCATTATCCCTTTTGTATAAGAGAGTCTCATTCTAAGCTCCTGTCACATTTTCTTTTGGTGATTGAGGCAGAATCCACACCAGCTTTGAAAAGGGAACTAGATAAATACCTAAGAGGAGTCAACTACAGGAAAGGGCAGCTCAATGAGACTGAATGGTTTGCTCTTGAAAGAGCCAATGCAGACACAATAGGCCGAATGGCTTTCTTCGATATAGTAAATTTCTATGCTTCTTTGTTATATTCCGCTCTTTGAATACTACGAACAATTTCAAGGAATTGATTATTTTTGGCAGAGAAGATTGAAGATTTTGTGAGATGGAAGCATGACATTTTAAAATTACCATAGACAGATGAACTGTCCTACCTAAGAGGTCCTATACCCACGATTCACAGAGGGTGGAGATCCCCTTGTAGAGTTCTATCAGGGAATGCAGGTACAGTTCCTAAGGGAAGGAAATTAGAGGGGTTGGAATGTGTTTGGCACATTTATTATATTTATTTTGAAATGTATGGGGTTTTGTTAGATCCTGCAAACAGTGTATGATTTGGAGGTAATATTAGAGGTCGTACTAAAATTTGGCAGCTACATGTTGGAAGACCATAATTTGGCCCACGTGGAGGAACTGACATTTTAGAAATGTTCTAGTGCCAGTTCTAAGTATGCTTGAATGCTCAAATATAGTAGGAACATACAATATTTTTTAAATTTACAGCTTCAAAAATTAAAGATGCCTGAACATCCCTGGGGCTCTGAGACACTCCACTGATTTCAATGAACTACAATTAAATAGGGGTCCTGGAAGCTGAGGTTAGGTTTTCGTTGTCAACTTGATCACAAATGTATTGTAGAAAAAGCAGTGGCTCAACACACAGTCAGGGTCCCCTAGCCTTGGCTCTTGCCAACCTGCGCCTAATACTCCCTAGAGTTAGGTAAACAGGATGCGTCCCTCCAGGGAGAGAGTGCACATTCCATTCCAATAAATATCTCTGGAATTTTTTACGTGTAGGTGGAATACTTGGAACTCTCAGTCTGGTGTGGATACTCTTAAACATGGTGATGGGTTTCTGAATGTGTCAGACAATCGCTACCCAACACTACCCGCCATAAATTTTTTTAATAAGATTTTCATATTGGTTGTGCAAAAATAAGATTATGCTGGAAACTTATTCTGGGAATATTTCTATTTATGTTGCATTAAAAAACAGGATTTGATGCACATATGAAACGAATGTAACAAATTCTGCAAACCTGCATGTCTGTAACCACGTGGGATCTATTATGTGCAAACCATGTGTAGACTATAGCATTCCACCAAAGTTTGTCATTTTTCTTTTAGGACGGGTTGGCAATATGCTACTCTGCCATAGGAATTATGGTTGGTTGAATGATGCACTGCACTTTACAAGTGGCATGGCCTGAAATGTAAGGACACTTCCATCTGTGCCTGCTGGTAGTATCATGATGCAACATTTCCAGGTCTGCTTGTTTTGACTCACCAGCTTGCTGTAATCACTCTCTGGTTAAGAGGCTTGTTGGCTTGTCTAAATATATGCATTTAAGGCCATAGATTCTCATTGCATTAGTTTATCCCCAGCCAAGTACTTGACGAACAACAAATTATATTTGTATGGCATCTTTCACAACAGGAGGATGTCCCAAGGCGCTTGACAGTAAGGGATCCGCACCCAAGCTGGTGGTTGGAATTAGGAGGGGTGGAGAACTGGCAGGATAGGGGTAGGATGGTGACAGAAGGCACGGTCAAAGAGAAGGCAAGGCAGGGGCAAGGTGGAGGGACTCTGGGATGGAGTTCCAGAGGGTGGGGGCAGAGAAGCTGAAGGTCTGCCCGCCAATGGTGGGACGGGCAAGAGGGGGACATGAAGCAGGCCAGAGCCCACTGAGTGGAGGGAGTGTTTAGGTTGGTAGGGTGTTAGGAGGTCACAGAGGTAGAGAGGAACAAGACCGTGAAGGGCTTTGAAGGTGACAATATGTTCAGTTAACTACAGAATATGGTTTTGCCGTATTTTTAACACAAAAGTCCACTGGTTCCTACATTCCCAAAGTTCAGCAACTTGAATTTTGACCCACCCTCAAATAAATATGGGATTGGCTTTAGCTATGAGGACAGAATAAATATTGTCAATATATAAGTATGAAGATTAGTCAATCTCAGGGATAGTGGAGCAGTGCCTATGTGGACTGGGGTTGGGGAAGGATGAGTAAAAAAACAATTACTGCAATAGAAAAACTACATGTTTTAGAAAAAACATACAACAATATTACATTTGTATAGCGCCTTTCATGTCGGGAGGACAGTGTACAGCATTTCAGACCTGAGCAGGGGTCGGGGGGGGGGAGGGGGGTGATCGATGGGATGGTTGAAGAGAAGGATTTTAAGGCGGGACTTGAAGGAGGCTAAGGAGGGGGCGAGGCGGAGTGATTGGGGGATGGACTTCCAGAGGTAGGGGGCAGAGTGGCTAAAGGCTCTCCCGCCAATGGTGGGGCGGGTGGGTCAGGGACGTGGAGCAGGCCAGAGCCGGCTGAGTGGAGGGACCGGGTGTGCTGGTAGGAGATTAGGAGGTCACAGAGGTAGGGTGGGCCGAGGCCATGGAGGGCTTTGTAGGTGAGGACCAGGATCTTGAACTCGATCTCCGAAGTAGAGGGAGCCAATGGAGTCGGGCGAGAATGGGATTTTATTTACAGGAATTCATATTTGGGAACCATTACTTTTATTTAGTGATACATGTCAAGGTCAATAATGTAAAAGATTTATGATATGGAATTATGCATCTTTACACTGCACAGTGAATAACCCTTGGAATCCCAGGGATAATATTAATCACTTGTGGTCCTATCTTATCTCTTTTTAGATAAGAAAATTGGTTCAGAAGTTGCACTGATTATTTATGATGTGACACTGCCAATCTACCATCAGATTCTAATAATATTAGAATGTTTGAACAGTTAATCAGAATAGAGTTAACAAAACATAATAAATTTGCTCAATTTATGGGGTTGGAATGATTACCAGCGAGTATTCTTCAGCAATCTAAATTCCATTAAATCATACGGTTCATGCTGGAGTGACTTTGTGATCCCCTGAGCTCAGAAAGAAATTAAATTCTTTGAAAGTCTGCCTTAGGAGAATTGAATGTTATATCAGCAAAATCCAGCAATGGAATGTACTTTGACAAAGTGGTTTATGTAAGTTAACTCCTACAATCATTACACAAAATCTACATAACAAGTACATTGTGTGTACAAAATTTACAAACATACAGAAATTTTAATATTAGAGACAAGTATGATTATCCAAGTCCAGCTCTAACAATGGGGCAACATTTGTGAGGTTTTAAAGCATTACTTGCGTTACTTTGTGCCAGCAGCAAGCACTGTGCATCCCTCTCAGGTCTCTTCCTTCTGGAATCCTGATCTTTGCTACCTTTAATTCTCCTTTGAGGCAAAGTAACTATTATCTTAAATCCTTACCTCTAAAGGGGCTTCTAACTTCTAACTTATTTATCAGTTGAATATTGCTTTTTCAAGGATGATGCTATAGTGGGTGTGACACTCACTCTCTCCCCACTCTTCTATTGACCAGCCCTGGCTAGTCCACTGATCAATACAAAATGATTCTTGGCCGAGAGAAAGCACAGATTTTGTCGGCATAATTTAACACAAGTAATGCTTCAAAACATTACGAGCTTTACTCCAATGCAATAACTGACACACCAGCAACTTTATCTGAAAAGGTACAACGAGTAATTTTGCATTAACAAAATAAATACATCAACCAATGAGAGAATATTAAACATGATTTTCCCCCAATTCACAAAAAAATTGTACAACCCATCAATCTCAGTGGTAGTTTTATGTCAACAGTCACACTGCAGTTACCCATGACTTTATGTAGTTTCCTCTTCAATGTGTTTTTGGAATGGAATTGATATTATCCTCTGTAGTAGAGATCAGAATTTATTACAACTTGAAAAAGATTGAAAGTTCTTGAAAGGAGAAGAAGCTCCACTGAACAATCCTCTAGATATTTAATATTTTATGAAAAACTGTTTGAACCCTTGCCTCTTTACCTAGCATTAAAAAACATTGTATTCAACAACAACAACAAAATTAAATTTGTATAGAGCCTTTCAAGTTGGGAGGACGTCCCAAGGTGCTTCCAACCAGGGTATTCAGCCCTGGTTGGAAGAACTGTATGCATATGTTTAAGTTGCCTACTATCAGCCACTGATATCAATACAAATTGACATTTGTAAAATGCCTTTCAATTCCCAACACGCTGGACAATCCAAGCTTTGCACCCAAGCTGGTAGTGGGGAACATGGATAAGGTGGAAGGTGGCCGGAAGCATGGGCGAAGAGGAAGTCTTGAGGCAGACCTTGAAGGAGGCAAAGGAAAGAGGCAAGGGAAGGGGCAAGATCAAATATTTAAATTGCTACAGCAATATAAAAAGGACATTATTTTACAATATCACATCTTGTACACACAGGCACAGCCATATTCATCTGGAGTTAAATGAAGTACCATTCAAAATTGGCTGTATAAAACTGACTTCATAGTCTGTTTTAGCATTCATACGGATGGTTTGTCCTGTGTTTTATTGCTGATCCAGTCCAGGGAGAATTTCCAGCTAAGTGCAATCAATGACTGGAACAACTTGCCAGGAAAGGTGGTAGATGCCAGGGCACTGGACTGATTTAGTTTTGTCAATTCACTGCAGGTTTTTTTTCTGAAATTGAAACTTTTATTGAACTGGTACTGTTAAACATGCTTCATATCCACAACATACAATTTAAATAATACCACTGGTTCCATGGATAACTATAGCCAATGGAAAATTATTAAAGCAATGTTTTACCATTTATTCACTGTAATTACTGAAGAAAATAAGCTATAGAGTAATATCTGCTATAGACGACTGGATATGAGTAAATCAATCTTTGTCTGTTCGATTGAAGTAGTACCTTTTATGACTTAATGTTTCTCATTTCTGTCAGTACAGTGATTCTGTAAGAGTGCTCCAGGTTTTCCATAAATTCTAAGTAGTTGCTCACCCGAAATCCACGGATTGCTTCCTCCTGTATAATCAAAATCGAAGAGAAAAAATATTTTACAGACAGCTGTACTGGATGTTCAGGATTAAAAAGACATTCTGCTTCGGCTGAAAAAATAAAGCAGCATTCAACAACAACTATTTGCATTACAAGATGCTCTTTACGGAGAATAATATCTTAAAATTGTGAGGCAGACATCAAGCCGAGGGTGGGGGGGGCGGGGGGTAGTGAGGGGAAGAGGTGACCATTGGGACGGTTGGAGATAGGTTTTAGGGCAGAATTTAAAAGACAGAGGGGGCGAGACGGAAGAATGAAGTAGTAGGAGGAGACTGGACATAAGCAGGATGCTAGGGAGTGAAGGGATTTCCAGATAAGGGAAAGGACCTTGAAATCCATCAGATGAGCAAGTGGGATTCTCTTATATAAAATATTATATTAAATAATATATTATATTTATAAATTGAAATTTACCATCCATCACCATACAGAAACAGCATTAACTAAATAAAGCTAGGAACTCCATTCTACAGGATAGAGGTGTCGCTCAGATAGTTCTGGATCCATCACTTTATTTCTATACAGTGATTGATACCAAAGTCCAACACGTTGTTTTTAATTATACAGAGAAATGAAACAAAACAATGAAATATACTGCAGTAGTTCCATGAATTATTTTTGAATCAAACTGGTGGTAGAGGCAGTTCCAAACACTCTAGCTTTCAGAACACAATGGATGTGGGCATCAATTGTGTAAGGAGTTGCAGGAAAGAAATGGCAGTGTCTGCCACTCATCGTAATAAAGCACAGCAAGGAGTGTTTTCTGTACAGTGTAGCACTGTGTATTTGTAAACAAATATGGGAGTTAGTTTTCACATAGCAATGCCCCACAATGACCATGAAGTGAATAACCAATTTTATCTGTGGGATTGTTAATCAGGGCACCAGGAGAAACAGGACCTGCGTTTAATGTTTCATTCAAAGGACGGCACCTCTGACAATGCAGCATGGCATTGAAATGTCAGCATGGACTACGAGTTCAGAGTCCCGACATAGGGCTTGAACCCCTAACTTCTGATTCAAAGGAAAGAGTGCTACCAATTGAATCAAACTGTTACTTGGCAATAAAATGTAAAATACACAAGAGTGTATGTTACATATAGCTGCATTGTACTAAAAGGGCTTGAGTGCTTCACATGTCATTCTTCATTTTCTTCTAAGGATTTCTCAAGACCAGTCAAATTGAGATTTAAACCAGAACAATTATTTCACCAGAGATCACATGGAAAGTTCAGGTAAAGAAGGCCTTTCAGCCCAATGGATCTCATTCTTCCAAAGCGAGTACAGAATTATGGTCTCAACCAGCCTTCCTGGTTACCCAGTATAGTTGTTAATTACCCTCTATGCAAGGAAATAATTCCCAGTGTCTGTTCTGAAATTGTAGAGTTCTGTAGCGTAGTGGTTTGAGTACCCGCTTCTCAAGTGAGAGGACTCGGGTTCGATTCCCAGGCAGGGCGACACGTTGGGCAAGTTTCCTTACTCCACACACCTCTATTTACCTAGCAGTAAGTAGGAACCCGGTTGTTAGTCGATTGGCAAATTGCTTTTCCGGAGGTAATAATCCTTTTTTTAAAAAAATTCCAATGCCCTCCTTCCTGGACCTACGAGCTCCACCACCCAGAAAATCCAACCGATTCAAAACTCCGCCACCTGTATTCTCACCCATTAACCCAGTTATAGGCTTCATTAGTCCCCTATGCAGAACTGATCGATATCAAGATCCTCGCACTTACTTATAAATCAATTCACACCCTAGCACCTCCCTATCTTTCCGACCTGCTTACACTCCACCCCACCACTTGTCCCTTCTGCTCCACCATCGGCATCCGTGCTTTAAGTGACTATGCCCTGAAACTCTGGAACTCAGCACCCTGAATTTATCTGGATCGAAGTTCATTTGCTAGTGATTAGTCCAGATGCTTATGCCATCCATGTCTCTCTTTTTTTAATCTTTGCTACGATCTCTCCAGCTCAGTATGAAAAAAATAAAAAAAGTAGGATAAATGGATATACTGGCAGCACTACAGCAATGTACAAGAAACGGGGTTGTGTAAATGTTCTTAAAAGCTTTCTAATAAAGTGAAGGGAATAATGATTTACAAGCTTCATCATATGATGGAAAATTAGAAAAGCACTTAGAATATTTCAATGTGACATATTTTTGCACGTATCCATCAAGCATAAGCCAAACAGTATTTTCATTCTATCTTGAGACCGGTGAGGATAGGAGAGCATAGCAGTCATGGTTACACATAAAAGATAATGATAGACATCTGACTTCAATCATATCGCACTGTATATAATTTGCCAAAATCAATAATATTCAGGATTAAATTACTTCAACGTTGGTTTCTTTTACCAGAGAGAGTAGACACAGTAGAGACGTTAATGTCTGTATTAGGAGTGCTGCATGTTAACAAACGGTCATATATTAGGTTTGTAGCTCTTTAATTACTGTTTCTATACTATGTGAAACTACAGCCATCTGACCTATCTTTCATCCTATTTCCAGCAACTCTTTATTCTTTACATAAAACAACTATGGCCCTTGCTGAATAATAGTCTCAGTAAATCTTGCAGACTTTTCATCCAGTTTACCTTTCTCAAGATTGTGCTAAGGCTATTCATTTAGAAGCACAAAACAAACTGCCATAAAATAAACACTTGACAATTTCATGTTTCATTCACATTTGAAATGTTAATAATACAGTATTTCAATTCCACTTGTGATGTCTTCCAGAAGTAGATTATTTTCATCTGAAGAAAACATCTTTCTTAGTAAATGATTTAATTTCTCTAAGGTTATTAGAGACCTAATAAACGCACTCCTCGCCGATCTCCCCAGCTCCACTATTCAAAAAATCCAACTCATTCAGAACTCTGCTGCCCGCAAACTGACCCAGACCAAACCCCGTACTCCTATCTCACAGTTCTGGCCAGGCTCCACTAGCTCCCCATCGCTGAACGGATTGACTTCCAAGATCCTCACTCGCGTTCAAATCAATTCACTCCCTGGCACCTCCCTACCTCTCCTACCTCCTCACTCTCCAATCCACCAACTACTGCCTCCAAATCGTCCTTTTATTCCAGGATCATCCCACAGGTTGAGGACAACTCCAAGCTCCTCTTCTCCACCACAAATCAGCTCCTCCACCACCTTACCATGGAAGTCCAGCCCCTTCCAACTCCAAATGTTAGGACACAATGGACTTCCTCAGGTCCAAAATTGATGGGATCCACTCTGCTGCCTCTGCCCAATGCCCTCATGCTCTCCCCTCCCCTTCCAGCTTTCACCCATCCCTCCCTCCACACCTTCTAACCCTTCTCTCACGTCCATCATTTCCCAATGAAGCCCATCGCCTATTCCCTTGACCTAATCCCTAATTATCAGGAGTCAGCTGTATTTAAGGTAGCTGGAATGGACAATATAATTAAAATATCATTTTGAGAACTACTACATTCTTTAAACTAAGTACCATCCAGAATTTCCTTCTGATGTACACCACTGCATCACCTGATGCACGTGTAAGTAATGAAGCTTGGAGTTTAAACAGGAGGGTGTAGTTTCCATTATAGTCAGATAATAGTTTCAGGCAAAAGTAACAACTCAATGGTACATGTAGCCTATCCACCTGACAGGCCCTGTCTGCCTGATTTCATGGCATTAATCAAAATGAGGAGAAAGTTTCTCCCAGTGTTCTGGCCTCCAGATAAAATTGGACGTTCACTTCATGGCTGTTTGTGGATTATTGATGTGTGTAAATTGGCTGCCACATTTGCCTACAAATGCACAGTCACTACATATTACAGAAACGTTGTTAAGTGCTTTGAGATGTTACAGGAGTTATATCAAATAGAAGACTTTTTCTTTCACTCTTTTGAAAGGGGGAATGTTTGAATGACTTATGATTTAAACACAATATGGTTGCATTCCATATCTATGATTGCAAAGCCTGTATGTATATATCCCAAAATGATTTCCTCTGAATGTGAAAACTGGTACAGTTTGGAGTCATGCATCAGAAATGTGTGAGCTATTTATTGATAGCATCTGAATTCAGGATATGTCTAAAATGAATCTTGCTATTACAGACAGCAAAATAGTACATATCATTAATATTTCTAGATACCCATCAGTCTAGAAAACTACTGATTGTGTGCAACCCACTGAGTTTTATTATTATTACTATTAATAGATGATGATACTGCACCACTCTATTTTCCTCACACCACTCAATGTCACAACAAATAATCAGCCACAATAGCAACATAAATAGGATATGTTGTGATTTTTATAGTTTCTTGTACTAAGAAACGAAAGTAAAAAAAACAAAATGCTTAACTGAACTTTCAGAGCAACCTTTTAAAGTTAACTTTCATAGAAAAGAACTACAAATAATAGTAACCATTGCATTAGATATAGCGCCTTATCACGTCATAAAACGACTCAAAGCGCTTCAAAGAATATATTGTAAAGTGGATTGACTTGTGTATTTTGTTTGAGAAACATGGCAGACAATTGCACATAGCAGTGTCCCTCAAACAGTCGTGGATTGAGTATGATTTAAGAACATTTAGGTAAATTTGAGAAATCAAAGCTTTTTCTTGGATGTGTGTGAATAGTGAATAAATTTACACAAGACAGCAGGAGCATGTGAGCTATACAGATCAGTCTAAAATTAAAGCTAAAATTAAAACTAATTATAACTAATTGTACAAATCTCTGGAATATTTTAGCTCAGTGAAGCATTGAAGACAGACTTTGAGAAATGCGACTATTTGTAAGGAGTCAGGAAACACACACACAAAGGAGCTGTTCATTGGATCCTAATGTATTGAACTACAGAGTGCTAGGAGGTGGTTTCATCCTGAAATTCTGCATGGAGTGAAATTCATAAAAACATCTTGCCAAAAGGTAGAAAGTTAAATTTTAATTACAGAGCTAACGTGTAGGCAAGCAAGTTTTAGGGCAACACCACTATAATACCTGCAGTTTTCTTTTATTAAAAACACTGCAGCCTCAAGAGAATGCATTTTGTTCAACTTTAAAGATTTAGATACACAATTTTGTTCTACTGTTTGCTCCCTTCTCGACCTATGAAGCACGATGAAAAATATATGTTTGCTCGAATACCATTTATATTTCATGTTGATCTATTGAACATTAAATAATAATAACCCTTACATCTGATATAATATAATCCTTGCATTTGATATAGCGTCTTGTCATGTCTTCGAGACGTCCAGAAGCACTTCACAGAATACACTGTAAAGTGAATTGACTGTATATTTTGTGGGTGAAAAGCGGCACACAGCAGTGTCCCACAAACAGTCGTGGATTGAGTGACCAAATTATCATTATTTATTTATTTTTTGGAAGGGATTATTACCCCAGGAAAAGCAATCTGCCAATCAACTAAAAACCGGGTTCCTACTTACTGCTAGGTGAACAGAGGCGTGTGGAGTAAGGAAACTTGTCCAGCGTTTCGCCCTGCCGGGAATCGAACCCATGTCCTTTTGCTTGCGCAGCGAGTTCTCTAAACGCTAAGCTGCAGGACTCCACCTAGATATAGCACCTTTCATGTAGCACCCCCACAAAGATATACACCTTTCATGTAGAGAGGATGTCCCAAAATGCTTCACAGGATTTACTGTAAAGTGCAGTGCCCCTGTGTATTTTGTTGGTGAATGTTTTGACTAAAAACAATTAATAGCATGCTAAGCCATTTAGTAATTTGTGTTTAAAATCGTTGCCCTTATTTATTTGCTCATTCTAAGATTAATTGTTCCAGCCTTCAATTACACTGCATTTTACACGAAAAATAATAAATCAATCAGACTAAAACCATCTTAGAGGAATATTAAGATAGAAAACCATGTTAATGAATAATGAAAGCATCCTAGCTATTTTCAGGAAGAAAAGCTATTTAGCTCGATAATATCTTTTTCTTACTGGCTTAACGTAATTGATGTTAAAATAATAAATCTGCATTAAAAATAATTGTAATGCTTTTCAGTGCTCCAATCATCACGCCTTCTCTTTTAGCTAGAAAGTCTAGATAGCAGACTAACGGGAAACTATCAATGCTGTTCAACTGGAGTCACTTAATACAATAGATTGCCAATTGGGTCAGCCATCAATTCCAAATACAGATTTTTTGTTGTAAATCATCCCAGCTACACACAATTTTGGCTGCTCCCCCAATGACATTAAAATTAAGATTTATTATATATTCATATGAACATAGAAAATTTTTCTGAAATGAATTCCTACGACCAGAGCATTTATGCTTCACTGAACTTTTCAACGAACTCCATCAATCTGACATGATTGCAGACAGAACTTTTGTTTAACTTTTTAAAAATAGTTTTAATAATAATAGTAATAATCCTTGCATTTGATATAGCAGCTTTTCACGTAGTTGAGATGTCTCAAACATAGACTATATTGTAAAGTGGATTGTCTGTGTATTTTGTGAGTGAAGATAGCTACCAATTTTAAGACAACTACCCATTCAATCATCCTGTTAGAAAAATTTAATAAGAATTTGAATAAGCACATTCTGCTCAACATGCACACATGAAGCCCTTATCCAAGTGTTAGATTTCCTTTTTAAATATGCCAATGTAAATTCTTTCACTTACCTTAAGAAAAATCTGGAGATCCTGAGTCTGCATGTGGTGAAGAATCTCTTGCTGCAAGTGCTTCAGCACAGCTATGCACATATAGACTTGATAGTCTGGGCCCAAGATAATACAGATAGCAATGTAGTGACAAATCTCAGTCCAGTCTAAATAGTTCCAGAAGCATTGAGCCAACCATTGTTGACAGATCTATGTTTTAAAAAATATATAAAATACAGTATTACATATTTTTACTTAGCTAAAGTGAAACATTGAACAATGAATAATGCAAGACATCATATTGTCAAATTAAACCAACAGATGTATTCATTATAGGATATTTCTAAATAATAAAGAGCTTAATTAAACTTGCAAAAATGTTCTTTCTGCTTTAAATACTATTTGGGATTACAAATGTTTATGCAAAGTTTACATTCCATTCCAAAGTACTTATAACCTGAAGCCTCAGACAATCGGATCCATATTCCAATATTCTCAACAGGATTTGTAGACAGCATTTCCTGAATGTGAATCAGACAACCCTCAGAATTCCACTCAGGAGTAGATCTCCTTCTGGGCACCAGGAGACTTCTTTTGCCACATTCCGGCTTCAAAGAAATCAAAATGGAGATTGGCGTTCAAGTTGAGTTTAGACGTCAGAGTAGAAGAAGAATGTGTTATATATAATTAGTTTTGACTTCACTTTATTGGCTGTAAACCTGGCTACACTGGCTGCAAAAATAGTTTAAAGTGGCTATAGTTTTCTAGTCTATTGTCTTCCAAATTCAATGTGTTTGGTATCATTGCAAAATGTCTCATCTTCAAAGGCTTATTAAGGAACAATATATTTTGGAAACTCTACATACTGGGTCTGAGAGAGATAGAAGAAATATATTTCAAGAGAATTCCCTAAGTTATCAGAGGCCTTTGGGGAGTCCAGACAGCCCAGACATAAAAATATTTAGGTTACAGAATTTAAATGGAAATCAAAACCTTTCTACAAGCTTTGTGGATATTTTTGAAAGGCTTATTCAGATTCTTTTTAACTCTTTTAGCTCTTAGCATTTGTACTTCGGTGTCACTTATTTCTAGCTGTGTACGGTTTAATCTCTTCACACAGTATTTTCGATCAACTGGCTAAAGCTTGAAGAGCATAATACTTCAGTCCTTTCAAATAGAGTGATGGATGTATCTAAGAACTAAATCGTATTGTAATAAGTATCAAGGATTTTGTTTTCAGATCATGTTAAAGGCCATTACATGGAAAGGTTACATTCCCAAAAAGCCTGCATTTCTAGTTCACAAGGTAGTCTGTTCAAGTAAATTCTATGCAAACCTTAATCTAAGAAAGTATTCACAAATTGTAGCATGTTATCAAATGCACAGCTAAGGAAAATGAACAAGAAAAGCTATATTCTTTGTTTCCTAAGATCTCCCCATGGTTCAGAGCGATGGCACGGACGAGCGTGTTTCGTCCTCAATGACATATTCTATGAATGGATTCCCTAGGAAAAAATTTAAATGCTCAATCCATAGAACTCCTTTGGACCTAGCTGGCCTTCGACGATTCTCCTACCACCCTGCCCTCCACCCCTACTGATCCCAAGCCCCAGCTTGGGTCCAAATCCCTGACTGTCCAGCCACTTGGGACGTCCTCCCAATGTGAAAAGTGCTTTCCAAATGTAATTTGTTGTTGTTAGGTTCAGAACTACTCCCTGCTGGACTATAATAAAGGCCATTAGGTCAGGAACCTTCAAAGATTTCCTCTTGTATTTCATAATTTTGAAACTTATGAAAGGACTTTAGCCAACTTAGGACTTCAGAAAGCAAACTATTTCTAAAGAAAAACCTCAATAATGGTGACTCTTCCATAGATTATCGAGGTGTCGCATCCGTTTGACAAACATACAGATACTGGTTTCAAAGACTTGTACATGAGATTTAATGATCAAGAGAATACCGTTCTAAAATATTGATGGCTGGCTTCATAGTCACAAAGGGTGCTCAACAAATGCAAACAACATTAAATTATATAGTTCCCTGCAAGTAGGATAACATCTCTGAGAGCTTGATAAAGATAGGGTCAGACATCCAGCAAGGCAGAAGGGGAGGGGGGGAAGATGACTACTGGCGTAATCAAAAATCTAGGGTTTTAAGTGGGATTTAAAAAGATATAGATCTATTCCAACTGAAAAGCTCGATATATGAACCCCCTGACCAATTTCTGTGAAACGTTAAGCAATGGATTCTGAGACTTATAATAATAATAATAATCCTTGCATATGATATAGTGCTTTTCACATCTTCTAGACTTCTCAGCAGCCTAAATTTTGTGATACTTTGGAAGAACTCCCAGGTTCCAAACTGGCTCTTCCAAGAGCTCCCTTTGTGCAGGATAAGTTTCCTTACATAAAACTCCTCATGTAGTCCTTACAGCTGAATCTTCTCTTGCAAAGAGATGATTGTTATCCTGAGTTCAAGAAATCAAAGATTTCTTATTCAAGAAATCTTTGATGTCCCAAAATGTTCTTGCAAAAAACAAGTGTGCTTGGCGAACTGCACTAACGCTCTTAGCCTATTGGGAAGCTACTTGTTTTGTTGAATATATATTTTTTAATGGATTGAGTGGTAGGAAGAGATAATCAAGGTAAAGCAAGATATTCAAATATTACATCAGACCCAGTAAATTCTAAATTAGTATGAATAAAGGCAATACAAAATAATTAGCAATTTGCTTAACCACCAGTTCAGGGTGAATAGAAAGAGAACTGTGCAGGCAAGTAAGAGGATATAGAAAATCTTAATGTGATAATCTTCAATAGTTTTTCCCTTATTTAATATAATGCCTTTAACTTCAGGAAATATCTCAAAGCTCTTCATAGCATATACTATAAAATGGAGCGTCTGTGTGTTTTTGTGGGCGAACATGAAGCTTTCAATGACCCAAAGGGCAACAGCTAGATCAGGAAAACTGGAGGAATGGGTGAAGGTAGCTCTATCAATTTTATAGAAATTCTCAGTAACTTCACTGTAATATAACGTGTGAAGTAAAGTATTAAGGTTGATACTTCAGATAGATTTAATATTTATCAGCCTCCCAGGATTAGTTAATAACGTACAAATATGAAGACTGCAGTTCCAGTGGTTATTGTACAAATAGATTTGATATTGCAATAAAGAAAAAACAATAAAGACAAATATCCAAACTAGCAATACTGCCATGAAATAATTTAGAAGAGCATATTTTAGAGCTATGAGAAGAACCTGAGGGAGCAACAAGTCAAAGCAGAACTAGAAAACAAAAGAAGAGAAAATGGAATTCTATTAATACAAGCATGAAGGGTTACAAAGTACAGAGCCAAAAAGGCAAATCATAGCAAAGTATATGTCTGTCGTTGAACAAGGAAATCATAACAAACCTGAAATACAAGTAGAATTATGTCAAACATTACAAGGAAACAAACAGACTTGGATTCATACAGACATCAATTTAACTGAAATCACTATTGATCGAGGAAGAAAGACTATCGCTCAAGGAAGGAAGGGAACAAAGAGGCAGATGCGGATAATAATAATAACCTTGAATTTGCTAAAGTGCCTTATCACATCGTTGAGATGTCGCAAAGCGCTTCACAGAATATACTGTAAAGTGAATTGACTGTGTATTTTGTAGGTGAAATATAGTCGTAAGAGGGATCTAAAAATGTTTTAACACAAATAGAAGACAGATAAGATTATTGCATTAAGGGATACACTGTGTAGATATTAAAAAGATCGGAAAATTACAAATATGTGAAATCACTTTGTCACAATGAAGAGGGTAGACAAATTCTAGAGTCAGTTATTTTGGCTCAGGAATCTGCAACATATACAGGGGTCATTAAAGCATGTATTGTAAAAAAGCTGCTTTCAATACTGGGGAGGACAATTCCTACAGTGGATAACGTAATATTTTATTCAATGGTAAGCCTATTCTAGAACCTTATCCTGATGTCATTATTGGGATAGGAAGTTGCTTTGGAAATCACAGTTGCTTTGTAAAATATTCAGGTGAAAGGGAAGGGAGAGAAAATATGGGTGCTGTCTAGTTCTTGCCAGACAGGGAATAATGATACTTTTCCTATCCACGGGATAGCATTGATTATAGTAACAGAAAAATTCACGTACAAACAAATACTAGTTGGCTAGATTTAAAAAATAAGTTGTAATCATAGTTAGTATCCTGAGGATTAAGGAAAAAAGGAATGCAACAAAATATAAATAAAAAATAATCAAAATACTTCAGTGGTGTCAGATGTACAGCAGTAATGCACAATTAAATACAACTTGAATCTATATAGTGTCCTTCATGCAGGTTGCATCTCGGAGCGGACTGACCCCGAGCTAGAAAGAGGGGGGAAGTGAACAAAGCACGGACAAAGATATAAAGTAATGCTAGACTTCAAAGCAAAATGTTCTGTTATGTTGCATTTTAAGTCAATAGATACTCCCATTATAATATTAATATAATTTTAAATTTTTTTTTGAAAAAAATCACAATTTAGCTTTTTAACAATAGATTCCTCCAATAAAAACTGTTCATAACATTGCATGAGACCAATGCATTTGCCTTCCTTCCCCAAATCATGATACAACATAGAAACATAGGAATAGGAGAAGGCCGTTCAGCCCTTCAAGCCTGTTCCACCATTTCATTAGATCATTGCTGATCTGTACCTCAACTAATACTTCAATTTCAATTTCCCGCTTTCTCCCTATATCCCTTAATACCCTGACATACCAAAAATCTATCAACTTCACTCTTGGATCAGCATCACACCCTTTTGGGGAGAGAATTCCAGATTTCTAGCACCCTTTGAGTGAAAAAATGCTTCCTGATTTCACTCTTAATTGACCTTCTAAGATGAACATGTTCCGGGTATTGTTTTCAATTTCAAACCATCCACTTTAAAAAAAATACTAAAATTATTATTATGGAAGAGGAAAGAGAATTTAATTGAAAAATCTGAGTATTGTTTAAAGTGTTTTAGATATTCAGGGCTTTTATTGATAGAATTACTAGCTCTCAGTTCAGACATCATGTAACTTTCTCCCGTATTACTTTTTAATTTGATATTGATTAAGTAGCTAAGGGTTGGCAGAAATATGTAGAGAATGTATTTAACTCTGCAAATGACAATAGTTTTGCAGCCAGACAAAAGTATGAATCAATAACAGTATTTCAATAAAATACGGATTATCTAGAATGGTTAAATGTAATATATGAAAATTAGACTTTCTAAATGTAGGAAAGAATAAAGGTTATATTATTAGAGCACATTTCCACGTTTAGCATAACCACTGTATTCACATTGTTTGGCTCTCTCAGCATTTCCATTTAGGATTCTATAATTGTTAGCTGTCTGTATCTACGATATCTTAAAATAAACCTCTTGAAATGTAAGCAGTTTTTCTCCATACAGTGTTCCAATCTTTGTTCTCTTCTATTACGAAAAAACTGTGATTCAGGAAATAAGCAAAAACTTTCTGATTGGGTCCACAGACCATGCATTGTGGAAAAGAGACATTATGATACAGTTTGGATGAAAATAATATTCAGTGTGTCAACACAAGTGTAACATTTTTAAATGAAAAAAGTCTACATTTAGAACACAATTAGATTTTCTATGACATACCAGAATTGCCAAATATAATAATTGTTATACTTCTTAAATGTTTTTTTATGAAAATGGCTGTAGAAAATGTACACAGAAAACATACAATTTTGAAGGGTCAAATAAAATGTAAAGAGCAAGTGTAGAAATTTACTACTCCAATAATATACCATTTATTTTACCTGTGTTTTTAAAAATGTTATTATACTGAGAAATAACATTGAATCTAATGATTTTTAGACGTTGTAGGGTCCTAGCTCAACTGTCAAATCATCATGAAATGGGTTAGATCTCAGTGTGACTTAGGGTCTTGATGTGACTACAATTTTACTCATTGAATTTGTGCCATTAATGCTCCAAGACTCATGCGGTGCGGGGATGGGGGGTGACGGGACACAAAGCTGCAGAGTAGTTTGGAAGTGTGTGTGTGGGGGGGAAGGAGACTCGAGCCTGCACTGGTGGAAGATGAGGGAGATCTGGGGGATGCCCTTCGTTTTGAACTGGAGATGTTCAGTCCCAAGTCTGTTGAATATTTTTATCATCTTCTTTATTGTTCATAAGATCTAGCTAATTTGTTACTGGATCTTGGGATGTACTTCTTACTCAGTTCCATTCTTATTTGTGAATGTGCATAGTTGTTTGTATTGTAAAAAAAATTAAAAACAAGGTTAGACAAAGGATTAACTTTAGTCACTACCACAAAGTTCTTCAGTTACATACAGTTTGTACTCATAAACACATCACCTGGGAAGGAGTGAACCCTGACATGCGGAATGCTGAGAAGACAAGTGGCACCTCGGCCTTCAGTAACATCTCAATGTAGTGACTTGTGCAGGAATATACGGGGTGGATAGCAGACTCTGCAATCTCCACAGGAAGATGCATCTGCCAAGGTGACAGCAAAATAAAACACATACGTGAGCAGACTTTGAAGACAAATAGATACAAATTTTAGTTTCAAAACATAGAGCGTGTCTTCTGCACAATTCATAGTATCCATCATGCACTTATATATCTTGGATTAATTTTCATATTCTGTAGTAATTGCATAACACATTATGAAATCTCAAATAGCATCCATTGTCTTAATTCAGCATAAAGTTCCTAAGCATTCAAAAAAATTGCGTAGTCCATTCTCCATATTCATTACTCTCTATAAAATTGTGAAATCTAAACTCTTCACCGTTCTGTTGCTATTTGTAGTTTGAAACAATGTTGAAAATATCACAGTCTTAAGAGTTAGGTTTATCGATACCCTTTAAACCTTGCATGTATCAATACTTCCTTTTGCTTTTACAGTGTAATATCTCCTCAAAACTAAGGTGCAAAATTTCAACTGATCTGTCTTTCACTGATTCTGTCCAATGCCAAGAGCTTCCTACTGTATTCCAACAATCAAAATTGTACACATTACTCCAGGCGGGCCCAACCAGTGCTAAGTACAAGACCTGCATCAAATCCTAATTAAGTCGATCCCTTTTAGTTTATAGCCGCTGAGATCCAATTTCCCACTTTATTTTCTAAACATACTGCGTCAAAGTCTTCAGTGACAATAGCTTTTATACACAGTCCCAAATTGCTCTCCCATGTTTTGCACTGTTGTCTTGAACTTAGTACTATTTAGCTATACTTTAGCTTATATGTTACTACTCATTCTCCTTCCCAATCTCATTACTCTGTATATTTCCATATTAAAAACCATTTGTCACTTGCCAGCCCATACTCCCATAGACATGCATTTTTATTCACAAATTTTAAATGTTTCAAAGATTGCCTATTAGATTCCCTTTCGATCTTAGGATTTATATATAAAATTGCTCATCCATTTCAGCTGTGCTGATACCTCGCTCTTCACCAATTTTTTTTAAAACTTGTAAACCGATGATCCCAACTGGACACATGATGTAAAATCTGGGTGGGGAACGTGAAGCAAGGCATGGTTTTCTCCGTTCATCCAACACTGGCCTGTTTTATGACCGCAGCCCAATTTAGGAACATAGAAACAGGAGTGGGCTATTCAGCTCCTCAAGCCTGTTCCACCATTCTATTAGATCGTGGCTGATTTGTACCTCAACTCCCGATCTGCCCACCGATGTGGGGGGGAGCCTTCAGCCACTAATCCCTCACCCCGGAAATCCATCCCATCATCTCTCCGTCACACCCCCTCGCTCCCTACTTTTAAAGCCTACCTAAAGACCACCTCTTTCACTATGCTTCTGATGATCTTCGCCCCAACATCCTCTTGTCCCCAGTTCAGGTGCCAGCCAGCTATGTCAAGTAATTTAAGGCATCCTCCTGATGTGAAAGGTGTTCTATATATGTAAATTTTATTGTATAGTATGTTCCATAGAAACAGCATTACTCATCAGCATTGATGAATACTACAATAAATTTGTGATCTTTTTCTGTTCCTACTTAACATCGTATGCCTTCCCTTCCGTCTTGGAACAGCCCCTGCCTTTCAAAACTCTAATCTCACTCTGCATGGGCATGAACCACAGTGACTGTCTGAAGATAATAAAACTCTGTGAAAACGCTCATGGAAATAAACAAATATGTCAGGGCTGATTGTATTTCTTTAGAATATAATAATGCCGTGTTTCAAAGGATAAGCTAAGCCTTTTATATACTACAATGGAACACTGTATAAGAAAATAAGATGGACAGCCTCAAGTCTTCCAAATTTTACAGCCAATAAATAACATGATGGACGATCACTGCAGTACTGCTATCCCATCCTGTCATGCCGTTAAATGACATTTTGATGAATAAACCCTTTGAGAACAACAGCGACATTTCTACAAAAAAATTCTCACACTTTACTAGATATAGAGACTTATAGCCATGCTTTATTCTGTCCTATACAGTTTAACACTGTGCTTATCAAAATATATTTTGGGAGAAATTCCACCTGGGTCTACATTTTCTCAATTCATCATTCAGTATTTTAGAAAATCCAGAAAGTGAACAAATTCTTAAACACACCCTTAATTTTGAAACCGGCTTTCTTTAAGTTCTTTTGAAAATTGCAGGAAAAATAAGTTTGCACAGAACTGAATTCACCAATTTCTCCCATGTATTGGATATTTCTTAAGAGTGATCATCATTATTATAGACTCCAATTCAAAATGATGAACACTATCAATTCTAGGGAAAGAGTACCTAAACGATAAGGTTTCCATATCCAGAAGAGAAAACTGAGATTTCAGAAAGACCGCAACAGATTTTCAAGAAGAAATAGCACTTTACCTTAACACAGCATATATAAACTAATTAACACTTGATAGACAACAATGTTTCTTAAAATGCAACTTACACTGCAATTTGTATAAAAAGGTTGAATGCATGAGGAAGAATTAAAATGGATTTCCAAGTTGCATAGGAGGCCAATTTTTTCTACTTTTGTAATTACTACTTAAACAAATAAAACAGATATCCCGTCTCTTTAACATTTCCCTGTGGTATATAATAAAACACAACTCATGGTTAAAACACATACTACTTCATAAAAACTTACAGAAGCATGCAGGCGGGGCAGCCAGAGGAATGCTGAGGTGAGAAGGTTTGAGAATTGTTGCAGAAATTTTAAAGCTTTCTCTATGTCCCCTGACATTATTAGAAATGCTGTGGATGCAAACCAGTCATGCCCAACATAAGCTCCCTGTAGACAGCCTGTAAGCTACAGTCAAGAAAATGTGACAGCATAAATCAATTTTTTAAAACGTATTTTTGCTGTTATGTTACTTTGCTGGATTTGATCTTATGTCTCTCATCTCCAGAAGTGCAGACCAACTGCTCATTACATAGTTCCTGCATAATTCATATTTTTTTACATAATGCTGTGTGGTTAGTAGACTAGGTGAAATACCCATCAAATGTATACGTGTATACAAATAACTGTTTTTTCTTAAGGCTTGTATTTCAATTAAATTTACAATATTGTGATAGTACTGCATTTGAAAGGAGATGAGAACTTGGTAGAGTGGAACAGCACATTGAAGCTCCAACATACCAAACTATCAAGTAGGAGGGCATTGGTTATCACTTGAAATTTCTGACCGCAACCATGTCACTGGAAAAAGATGTCAACTGGAAAGGTGTAACCTGTCTTAATCTATCAACCAATGTAGAACACCACTGGCACAATCCATGTCACCTGGCTGTCCTCTCTAGACTACTGTCAGTACATGGCCCAGAGAGAAAATAACAAGCTTGTATCCTAACATAATAAAGTAAAGAAAAAAGATATTGAGCTTCCACCTTTGAGTCTACATTGTCACTATAGCAATGCTGTTTGGTAGAGGAATGTAAGCAATTAGATTTTTGGACATAAAGATGTAAATTATACCAAGGGCTTCTGGTTTCAGGGTTTAAACATGTATTTTTCAGGGTTTCTTTATTTTTTTTTAGCAATTTTTGAGTTCTAAATAAAGGGGTATTTCAGGCCTCTCACTTGTAATGAGAAGATTCAGACAAGCACAGAAGGGAGAGGCGGAAAGCGAGAGTAATGCATGTGTAGCTGGCATTAGGATAGGTAACCATTTAAGGTATTGTTCTGGTGATTATTGGATAAAAACACACACACACTAAAGCCGAAGGGCAAGAAAAGTTCCTCAGTCTAGTTCTTAATCTACATCAAAAGAGTATTTTAATTATTTATGGGATTTGTCTACACTGGATGAAGTTCAAGTGACTATTTTTGGCATGTGAAACATCAGTTGTTCTAGGCACCAAGCAATCAGTAACTTTAAATCATTTAAGGACTGAATTAAATATCTGTTCCTTGACCTTAATGAAGATCTGTATGCCCACATTTCAGTTCTTTTCAGACTGAAATACTCAAGACTTATTGCAAGTCATGTTAAAACCATCTTTTACTTATAACAACATGCAATTGGAATACCCAGCCTGGAAGTTATATAGGGTAGAATGTTGTCACTTGGGTGCAATTAGTTGTTCAAACGTAAGGATTATTAAGGGTATATATTTTCCCTTTCATGTAGGGAAATGCCTAGAAGGGCTTCACAGAGATGGAGTGAGGGCCTGATCAGGGTACAAGATAGATGGGGGAGGAGGTAGGTGATCGAAAACCAGGTCAATGAGGAAGGTTTTAAGAAAAGTTTTGAAAGCAGGGAACCAGCCAGAGGAATTTAGGGAGAGAATTCTAGAGAATGGGACAAAGTTGCTGAAAGCTTGTCTGCCAATGTTGTGGTGGTGTAGGCAGGCCTGAGTTAGCAGGCTGGGCAGGGGAGGAGCACTACAGGAAAGCATGTAGGCTGAGGGAGGGGGTGAGGGGGAGGAGAGGCTAGGAGGAGAGGCTCGGAGGCATTTAAAAGCAGGAATAAAGCCCCTGAAGTCGATCCACTGGGGAAAAGAGAGCCAGTGGAGCTTGACGAGGAAGGAAGTGATTGGTTCATGGCACGTGTAGGAAAGGATATTGGTCATGCAATTCGGAATAAATCAAGAGTTTGTGGAGGCTTGAGCTAAGATGACTGAGGAGGAGGCTATTGGAGAAATCAAGTTTGGAGATGTCAAAGGTATATTCTCTCTCCCATGGTAGATTTTTAAAATGTCACACACGTTCTGCGTGCCATATCTCACTGACTGTGGTGAATAAAGAACATCTTTTCAGAATAGTATCTAACACTAAATCACTGTTGAGAGAACATGGCATAAATCATTGAAAGCTCATTTGAAAATGTTTCATTGTGCCCTCTTTAAATGCATCAGAGGCCTGAAATTCCACCTGGTTTTAGCCTGAAAGACTTTTTTTACCTTCAAATTTAATATCATGCAGAATTGTAGAATTTTTAAAAATGTATTTATTTATATATAAGAACTGTGGAGGAAATTTATTTTTAAACCAAGAAAGTGCATGCAGCCCTCTAGAAAAATATGGGACAGAGGAAAAAAAGGTTAAAGTGACATGCTTCTTACTTAGTGAGGTGTGTTATTCTTAGCAACCTGAATTAACCCTTAATGCACAAAACTTGTTGATTGAACTTTATCCATTGTAAAAAAAACATATAAAAATGCACTTTGTTGTGTGGAGTCCTGTAGCTTAGTAGTTAAAGCAATCGCCTCGCAAGTGAGAGGACTGGGTTTGATTCCCGGCAAGGTGAAGCGTTGGGCAAGTTTCCTTACTCCACACACCTCTGTTTACCGAGCAGTAAGTGGGAACACGGTTGTTAGTCGATTGGTGGATCGCTTTTCTGGGGGTAATAATTCCTTTAAAAACAGCATTTGGTCACTTAACCCATAACTGTTTGTGGGACACTGCTGTGCGCAATTATCTGCTGCATTTCGCCCACAAAACATACAGTCAATTCACTTTACAGTATATTCTGTGAAGTGCTTTGAGAAGTCTAGAAGACGTGAAAAGGCGTTATATCAAATGCAAGAATTATTAATATTATGAATAAGAACCATAAAGGCAGTTTTTATTCAAAAGGTAAAAATCTATTTTTTTTGAGTATCTTTGGGCTCTGTTTTTTCTGCCAACAAACAGGAGAAAACTGGGAGTGGGGGTGCTGCGGGGAAGTGAAACACAAAAAAATCCTTTAGTAAAAAAAATTGTTAATTATTTTGGAACTTTCACTTAACAGCGGATACAAAGTGATGCATGCGTAATGCCACAATTGGCTTACCTGCATGCGCAGGATATTGTGACCACATTAGCAGAAGCGGTAGTCTTGGTAAATCTGCAGTGTGGTGTGTTTCAGAATGTACGCGCACTATCACAAATGCAGAAATAATCTCCAATTTCTTTTAAAATAAAGTTTTGGTGAATATTGCTTCTCACCTATTAATTTTCACAAAAAAGTGGGTATTTATTCATGAGCTAGTCAGCAACGTAAAGAAAACTTTACATGTGATGTGATTGGAAGTTGTTTATTGTTTAGTGAACCTAGTGAACAAAATTAATCTGATTGCTACTTTACTCAACAAGCCTATTTACTCCATACTATGCCTCAGGGATCAACACAAAGATGTTTGAAGCATCATCTTGAACTACTCTGATTAAATGTTGTCAAAACAGCAATTAAAAATAATGCTACTGGGAAATGAACTGGTATCTAAGAGTTGAAGGCAGAGTTTTGAGAATAATACAGAAACAACCCAGTAATGCACACATAATATATAATAATGGAAAGAGAAATAGAGTATGGTCTTAAATAGACAGTATTTTAAATATTGTAACTATCTAACCACATGCAAGGATACAAAGGGAAGATCTTATTGCAGTTTGCTGGTGTTTCAGAAACATCTCACAATGCTTCAGGAAAATTTCAAGTTCTTGGTCAGAATTGTTCTTCAGTAAACCAAGATATCTTCCGTATCTGGAACACAGAGATGTGGAACAAAAACCCAGTGAAGTTATTACAACAATTTCTGAGAAAATGAGAATGCAATCTTCCCAACTCCCTCCTAACCTCCGACTTGTGATTCAAGCCCCACATCAGAACATTACGTAGCTCATAATCTAGGATGACTCCAATGCAATGCTGGGGGAGTGCTGCATTGTTGGAGGTGCTGCGAAAGAGATGTTAAATGGAGACTCTAAACACTACATGGCACTATTCAAAAAGAGAAGGGAGTTTCTTCAGTGTCCTGGCCAATAATCTTGCAGATAAAGCTGGTCACTCATTTCAAGGCTACTTGTGAGACATATTGTGTACAAATTGTCTGCCACTTTTGCCTACGAATACAGTCTCTACACTTTACATTAAATCCCGCAAAGTGCTTGGTGATTTATCAATGGGATGATGAGGTGCTATATTAAATGCAAGGATTATTATTAAATTATTATTATCCTAATCAGGTTTAAACTCTGTAAATGTCTCCAGTGCCTTGGGACGTCCTCCCGACGTGAAAGACACTGTACAAATGTAACGTTGTTGTTGTAAATTCTCTTCAAGACAATAAACAAAGTCACTATACAAGTGAACGTTGTTGAAGTAGTTTCTTTTCTCAAACTATATTATTTTAAAATTAAAATATACCAGTTCAGTTTGCAATAAAAATCAGTACCTGCAGGTTAGAGGTATGAAATCAGTATTGCTGCTTAGAGTCATTTTTCATTAACACAAAGGTTTTTTCCTAAATTGTCAGTTGTAGGGTTATCCTCCTTGGGGGGAGGTAAGCAGGGTCTCCTTGGAGCTGAACTGGCTCTAAGGTGACATGCTTGGCAACAGAATGTCGCAATCGAGCCAGTCCTCTGTGACGGTCTCAGTAATCCGGTTCCTGAGCCAGGCGGATCCGAAGTATTCCAGGCATTGATGAAGATGACCTCATTGCCAGGACCTGGAAAGGCAGACCAGTCACTGGGGGCAGGGAGTCATCCCACTCAACTCCTGTTAAATCTGCAAGCCAAAGCCCTAACGGGTGGTCCTAGCTGGATAAGCAGCAGGAAAGCTTACTGGACAGCAATATCAAAGGCAAGCTATGCAGTGTTAGCTGGTTAGACTCCAGCTGTATCCCAATGCACATTCTAGAGTCCCCAAGCCTTCGCTTTTTCTAACCTGCGCCTAATACTTTCTGGATTTGGGTAAGCAGGATGGCCCCTCCAGGAAGAGAGTGTGCATTCCATTTCAACAATCTATCGCTGGGATTTCCATATGTAGGTGGGATGCATGGAATTCTCAGCTTGGTTTGGATACTCTCAAGTATGGTGATGGGTTTTACATGTGTCAGACACCTGGCTGACCCCCCAAAAATCGGTTGGAGGTTAACAAAATCTATTCAATTACGACTGCTGGTGATGATGCCAGTATATTGCAGCTTTTTTGCAATCCAGCTCGTGCCTCAGCTGAGGATTGGTAGATTACTACTGTAAAAAAATGTTAGCAGAGCTGCCTGTCTCATCAAATTCACAAGTGCTTTCATGCTTTACTTGGATAGATTGAGATTTGAGCAGTATGATTGGTGGTTGGCTGACTGTACACATAATCCTAAGAAGAGTTTCTATTCAGGCCAGTAGAAAATGGTGATCCAGGAGAAATGAAAAATGTTAAAATGATTTTGCCTTCAGCAAGAGATGTTGTGACTTGCCTCCTCCACCCCTGCTTTTAGAACATTTGAACCTTTTTTTCTATTGAAAAAGGCAATATTGCTGGCTGGAAATATTTAGTGATATTGTGTAATCGACAAGCTGCACAATGTAAAAAGTTACGCCCCCAAGTCTTTCTTTCAGTTAAAAGTGTTGAAAAGGTGTTTTTTCCAAGGCAACTCTTTACTTCACAATACATAATGGCTTTAGTGCCATCTAATGTGAGAAAAACTAATTACATCAACAGATACTATGCTTTTATTATTCTAAAGTGTGCTACAGTTTCATGTTTATCTAATCTCTTTTTGAATAATTATGATTCTAGATATATTACTGTTTTAATCTAATAGCCTACTGTCCAGAAGAAATGTTTTCCGTTGCAATGATATTATATAAACTATTATTTAAACGATTTCCAGTATTTAAAATGCACAAATACCTGATAGCAGTCTTTATTCCAACTCGCTGAATAGGGGAAAGATTGAGATTCTTGACACAGGCATCAGTGGCTATGAAATAAGAACACAACAGCAAGTTAATTTTCTATGCAATATCTGCAAAAAAATTCATATTATTATCTGCATAAGACAGAAGGCATTTTCAGGCAAAAACAAAACAGTAAAATACAAAGTGGGTTCACAGGTTCAATTAAATGTTGCCATATTGTATCAGCATTAGATTTGCTTTATAAGGTAATCAAGGTTAGGGAATTAAAAAAAAATGATGATTTACATTTGATGCAAAAGTATTACTTTACATTTTATAAAGAGAGGTCAGGGGTTAATGAGTCAATATCACAAAGAAATACATAGCATGTTTCTACCCAAGAAATATTATTTCATCCAACTGATTTGTGCTTGTGTTTGGTCATAATGCCTTCACTCCTCATCCTATCTCTAATACGTCTTTATTCCCTTCTCCCTCATGTATACATCAGGTATCCTGTCAAATATGTTGATGCGTTCTGCTTCAACCACAGCTTCCAACAGCAATTTGCACTCTCTGCTTAAAGACGTTCCTCCTAAACTTCCTTTAGATCTTATCTTGACTATGTTATATTCAGCTATCTTATATTTATGCCTCCTTTTATGGACTCAGGAACAAGTGGTAACAAACCATCAAAGTATTTTCATGAACTTAAACAACTCTATCAGGTCCCCTCTCAATTGTTCAACTGCAGACAAAAAAGCTTTATTCTTTAGAGTCCAATCTTTCTTAATAGCTGTAACCACTCATCTGTGGTAACATCTGAGTAGACGTAAGCTTTCAAAGTTTGAAAAGTCATGGAAATTCAACTTATTTTATATTCCACCTTGTGATCTTCTATTTTGACATCGGAGGTTTTTATAAAAATAAAACCTACTTATTTGGCAGCCATTTATTGTGTCTTGTACATACAAACGCTCTGAAGTACCTTTTAGTTTTGAGCACTGTTAAGACTTCAACTGAGTTATTCTTTGAGAAAAGCTCAAAGCAAAAGATAATGATTCTTCTAGCTCCACACAATTATTGAAATTCATAACCCAAACATCTAAATCTAAACAATCTGGACTGTTTAATCTAAACAACATGAGATCAATTTTCAATAATTCTGACAAAGATGAGTGGGCACTTCCACATTTTGGATAAATGGTTATTTTGATATTTATAGGTCTACTTGGTTCAATATGAAAGATGTGAAGAGCTACAGCATAGATTACGAAGCGCTTGAAAATGTATACAGTTAAAAGACCGTTAAAAAAGAAAATGTTATGTGAATGAAAATAAATGTTACAGCAGGGTATAAGCTCAAAATGTTTATTGCACAACATTTTAAAAGAGCTGGGTTTTTTTTAGGTTTAACTGACCTTTCAACACAAGCTGTTTTACAAGAACAATTCAGCAGCAGTAAAATGTTTAGCGAAGATTTACCTTTCACTGTAATCCTTGTGGATATGGTTTGTGCTGAGAATGCTGAGTTGCCTGCAAAACACTGCCTACCTTCGGGACTTTGACCTTATTGTGTAGGCTGATACTGGGAGCACTGCTTTGTTGTAGGTGCTGCCCTTTGCATGAAATGTTAAATCTAAATATTCCGTGCTTAAAACATTTCTTTTTCATTTAAAAATTTTGGCTTGTAAAGACACATGCAGGCATAGCTTAATACTCAACTATGTTTTGCTATGTCTAAGAACTTTATGCGAAAATACGTAAGTCAACATTTTTTTCAGATTTATGCATGTTGACTTTGACATGTAGTACAATAAACACAATTCTAATTATTTAATAAATCTGAAAAAAATCAATAAATGTCTGTAACGCAACCCCCTGATTTATTTATTAATTTGAATAATATTTAAGAATAGCCTAAATATTAGGAAAAATACCATCTTATTTTTTAAAAATTACGATATCTATTCATCAGTGCATAGCCTCATCTTTGTATAACATTTGATCTCATCACAGAAATGTGCCATTTTCAGGTACTTGCTCTCCCTCCTGAGCAGCAGCTATTATACAGGCTGTGGTGAGATCAATTCTGAAGTGACTTAGTGCTTCAGATCACCTGGGGATCAGTCTGGAGTCAGGGCAGAAAAAAAACACTCCTGTCTTTTACTACTGCAATATATTATTATAACCCTTTCATTTGATATAGCACCTTACCACATTGAAAAGTCTCAAAAGACTTCAGTTTTTCTACATAGTATTGTAAACTGTGCATTAATAAGAGAATGCAGTAGCCATTTTTTTGCACACAGTAATGTCCCACAAACAATCATGAAGTGAATGACCATTTTTTTTCTCATGGACTGTTGGTCAGAACACTGGGAGAAACTCCCTTCTCTTTTTGAATACAACAACAACTTGTATTTGAACACGAGTGTGAGGATCTTGAAGTCGAATAGTGCCATAGGATCTTTATAATAATAATCCTTACATTTGCAACCTCCTAAATCCCTACCAACCTGCCTGCTCCCTCCGCTCAGCTGGCTCCGGCCTGCTTCACATCCCCTGCCTCGCCCGCCCCACCATTGGCAGGCAGGCCTTCAGCCAGTCTGCCCCAACCCTCTGGAACTCCATCTATCCCGCAGTCCCTCCACCTCGCTTTGCCCCCTCCCTTGCCTCGTTCAGACCCATCTCAGGATTCTCCACTTCAACTGTGCCCTCCATCCTCCCCGATCCTGACTCCCAGCTCGGTTCTGAAACATTGACTGTCCAGCGCCTTGGGCTGTCCTCCCGATGTGAAAGGCGTTATATAAATGTAATTGTGTTATTGTTGTAGTGTTTTTCATAGCAGGCGGACAGCTCAAAGTAGTACACAGGACATACTGTGAATTGTATTGACTGCTTATTTGTAGGTGAATGTTGTAGCCGACACAGCAATGTCCCTGTATGACAAACAGTCATGAAGTGAATAACCAATTTTACTGGGCGATTATTGCCCAGGAAATCAGGAGAAAAACCTCTGGGCTTTAGTGCCCACCTGGACAGGCAAATGGGACCTTGGTTTAATGTTTCATCTGAAAGTTGGCACCAGTGACAATGAGGTGTTTCCTCTGCATCAGAGTGTCAGCTGATGCACCAGAGCCTAAAGTCCTGACACACGAAGTAAACCCAGAACTTTCTGACTCAGAGGCAACAAGGCTAACTCAGCCAGGCTGATATGACTAAAGAAAACTTCCGTTATTTTTTGTATTCAGTCAATAGCATTTTTTGCATTACTGTTATCTTCTACATAGACAAAATAAAATTTGCTGTCATAGTAGTTTTCATCTAAGGACAAAAGGCAGAAATACAATTGTAAAACTACATTTGTCTAGTATTACTGTACAGATATTGTCTTTTAGCAGTATGATTAATGTTGTTAATACAGTTATATATAAAATATGTCATGTATAAATAAGTTTCTTTGTCCAGGCTCGTGTAGCCAAATTCTTTCACACTTTTTAAAATTTGAATGTTATCAGTATTTCACAGATCCATCAATACACACACTTTGATGTAAGCAAATTATAAAAGCTTGAAAACTCTGACTTGACAAGCATACAAACCATTAAATAACAACATTAAGCCAGAGAAAAAAAAACAACCATTTCAGCACACTTCCTTACTTAAAAGTTTTCTTTCAGCACCTTTGAAAATAACAGTTGGTACCTATTTAGCTTGGACAATATATCATTCCCCACATCTCTACTTCATATCCAAGCACAGAGACAAGCATAGGTACTATTTTTTAAAGAAAGTGCTTTAGGAGAAATTCAGCACAAATCTTTGCCAAACTCAAAACAATATATTCCCTTATTTGCATTAAGGAAACCAGTAAACCTCCACCACACAGTGCACCCAATCTTTGTCACAAAATTGTAGTTGAGGACAGACCAGCTCTCAAACAAGGCTGCAAAACCAATGGCAGCCACAGGCCCAACCTCTGTAGTTGGGTGTATCACACCAATAGCCAGTCAATAATTATTGACTCCTCATCCGCACTTGACTATGTTATAATTAGCATATTACAACTCACAAATTTGACCAGAATATTTTAAAGGGTTGATATGGAATTTTTTTTGGACATCTTCTTTTAAAAACTATATAATAAAATTGATACCATGGTTTTACATAATATAAAGTATTCCAATTTAACTCACTTGGACAAAAGGTTATATTGCAATCAGCAGTCAATCAGGTGCAGTACACTGAATACAAAATAAATGCTTGTTCAGTAATTATCTGTTTAATAATAATAATCCTTGCATTTGATATAGCGCCTTATCACGTCTTCTAGACGTCTCAAAGTGCTTCACAGAATAGACTGTAAAGTGAATTGACTGTATATTTTGTGGGCAAAACGCAGCAGCCAATTGTGCACAGTAGTGTCCCACAAACAATCATGGATTGAATGGCCAATTTTTTTTGAAGGAATTATTACACCCAGTAAAGCGATCTACCAACTGAGTAGCAATCGGGTTCCTACTTACTGCTAGGTAAACAGAGGCGGGTGGAGTAAGGAAACTTGCCCAACATTTCGCCCTGACGGGAATCGAATCCAGGTCTCTCGCTTGCGAGACGAGTTCTCCAACCACTGAGCTACAGGACTCCACGGTTTACCTCAACAACCAGGGTTTGAAATGATTAATCTAAATTAATGGAACTAATATGGATTTTGTGTGAAAGGATTTGGACAGTGGCACAAAACAGTTGTATTTAGGCAGGAATGGCTACTAAGCTTTCAATCCCATCCACAGAGAAAAGGAAAATGAAAAAGTCACACTACCTGGACACTCTTCTCAGCTGGAAGCTAAGACATGTTTTGTTGGAGGCAAACTAGAGGGAGCTTTATGCTAGATAACAGAGTTCCTAAACTTCATTGTGTCTACAAGTGCTTAGCATAACTGTTAAGTGACAGATGCATTGTTAATCTTTTTAAATACAAAATTCAGCAATATCGAGCCCAGTTTCTGAGATTTATAAAAGCAATTGTAAATGGCAAAATCTGCAGGGCACAGATTTTGACTCCTGTCAGGCACCAAGA